CGACCGTAATCACTATCTTTCTTTTTCTCTGCCTGCTTCGTCTCTGTCTCCACTACTGCTTTGACTCCCCCTCTCTCTCACTGTCCAGCGCACTTATATACGATAATACTGCCTGTTCTAGAAACACCTAAGACTCTCAACACGTGCTACCAGCGTCACTTGACTTCCGCTGTCGTCACATGACCCCTGCTGTCGTAATACGCTAGCGAATCTTCTAGAATACTCGTCACGTGACCCCATTGTCGTAACAATAGTTAAATGAAACACCTAAACATCACAGTAGTGTAGCCTATATAATGTGTAAAGTTTAGTATACTCTAATCTCTTATAGTGATGGCACAGGACAAGACACACATTCGACATGTAATGCTGTTTGAATAGAAGAAGGGAAACAACGCCTCTGTAGCCACAAAGAATATCAAAGAAGTCTATGGAAATATTTTGAACCTTTGTGAGTGTCAGTGATGGTTCAGCAAATTTTGTTCAGGTGACTTTAGTCTTAAAAACTGCAATGGCAGGGGCCGACATGTTGGAATTGATATTGATGCTTTGAAGATGCTTGTTGAGTCTAACCCAAGGCAACACACTCATGAAATGGACAGAATTGTCACCAGTGATGAAAAATGGATTCTCTATGCAAGTATTAAATGCCAAAAACAATGGCTCAGTCCTAGACAAAAACCACTTCCGAACCCAAAACCTGGACTCCATTCTCAGAAAGTGATGCTTTGCATTTGGTGGAACATCAAAGAAGTAATTCATTTTGAACTCCTCAATCCTCAGAAAGTGATGCTTTGCATTTGGTGGGACATCAAAGGAGTAATTATTTTTGAACTCCTCAATCCACAGCGAACCGTCAATACAGAGAGGTATAGTCAGCAACTGGAATGTTCAAATCAAGCCCTTCATCAGAAATGCCCTTCACTCGTCAATCGTAAAGGTGTTCTTCTTCTCCATTACAATGCATGTCCACATATAGCATGTTTGATGTAACACAAAATTATGGAGTTGTGTTGGGAAGTTCTCCCCCTACCATATTCTCCAGATATGGCACCATCAGATTACCATCTATTTTGTTCGCTGCAACACCATTGTAATGGGAAAACATATGCAAATGTGGAAAATGTTAAAGAGAAAATCAACATGTTTTTTCTTCAAAGCCAAGTGATTTCTTTAATCGGGGCATTAACAATCTGATTGTAAGATGGAAAAGCATCATCGATAAGAATGGATACTTTCATTTAATAAATGTTTTGTTTTGATATATAAGTTGTTCAGGTTTTTTCATCTAAAAAGAGCGACATTAATTTATGTATGATCTAATACATTACAACTGTTATAAAAATAAAATTAACAATTACTGTACTCTTATATATAAACCTTTACTAGTTGCACATTCAAGATGTAATTTTTTTAGTCTTGTTTCCATTATTAGTAATGTTTTTACTATGCCTGTAAAATATTTTTTCAATTTCTTAATGTGGTATTGTGTTGAAGAATACATCATTTCTAATGTTTGTGAGAAGTTTTAACTGTGAAGTTTGTTAATGAATTAGAATTGCAACACAATAAAATGTGCTTCACTATGGTATGTAGACATAATACTTTAAGTACAGACCCACCCCTTGGATCACTCATGTTTTATCTTGCATGTAGTTTATCTTTCTAAAGCCAAAATCAAAACTTAAAATGTTTCATACATCCTCTCATCTATACAAATGCACTGTTTTCTTTAGGGCATTTGTAATCTGTGATGTTAGCTTAATTCTTACAGTTAAGACTGTGTCAATTAGTGTGTTTTTCAATCTTTTTGGTAACCTTTCTTATTGTATACCGTAGATGTTTTTGCTATCTGGAGAAGTTCTTTTGGTTTGATATGGTGGCAACTAGATGAATAGTATAGAAGTTCAGTTTAGGTGATGTGTCCTGTTTTTTAAAATCTGAAATAGCTATGCCTAGTGTGCTGTGGTTTGGCATGTGATTTTTTCCTAGACCCTGAGCTAAGTGTAAATTGGTTGAAAACAGCAAATCCTGATCTCTTCACGTTATGCCTTTTTTTGCAGTTTCATCCCCTTGAGTTGTTTGTAGAGATGGGCAACATTCTTTCTCATGATGAAGCTGTGTCCAGTGGGGTGGTGTGTGATTGTATGGTGATTAGGCCTTGAAGCCTGGGTATCTGTAATATAAAAGGTGAATCAACATTTATGTGTAAATAGTACTACCCTCTTGCATCACAATTTTTCCCCGATTCCCACATTTGCCACAGTGTTGATTTATTCAGCTAATAAGACATTTTGGAAACTTTGTTGTTAAGGGGACACATGTGAATTGTCAGTAAGTTAAGTTTTTTTGGAAAGCTTTTGATTTTATGATGCTTGACACCGTAGAAAAAAACGCCATCACATGTAGTGCAGAGAAGCCAAATAATGATAGGAAAATTACCTTCATGCTCATGTATTGTTGTGAGAGATAAGTTATGAAAAATTAATATGGACTAAGGTGTTGCAGAATCTCTCCACTTTTGATATAGATCAGGATGTGGAGAGAAGTGATCTAATATTTCCACTGTTGATATGGATCAAGATTTAAATGAGAGGTGTTATGGAAAGTTTGGAGCATTGATATGGACTGAGTTGTTTAAGGATTTATGGAATGTTTTTATTACTGTTGTGGACCAAAATGTGTTGAAGGAAATAATGATGTTGCCAGTATTGATATGAACTAAAGAGTGAGAGGTTATAGAATGTTTCCAGTATTGATGTGGACCAAGGTCTGGAAGAGGTTATGAAATGTTTTCAGTACTGACACTGATTTATTAGCAGTTGAAACTCAGTTTGCAAAGAATATAAAGCATTGCTGCTGCAAGAACTGAGAACTTAACTCACATGTCTGTTGTTAAAAATACAACTATTTGGACTTCGTGGGATGATGATGTTTTTTTGTTTTTAAGGAGGACAGATATAATAAAATAATAAGTTGCAATTTGAATGTAAGGTTTTCTTAGGGGTCATCAAAAATTACTTTGATAGTTTGTTAAGGTCCAAACAATTTCTACATTTAACAAATTAAACAGTGGTACACTTGTATCATACAAGCAAAGTATTATATTATGTGCATTTTCTTTCTAGATCATGAAGAGCCAGCTTGCAACAAGTAATGGGAAACAGAAGAACTTAAGAAGACATCATTTAACATTAATAGTGTATTGTGCTCTTTTCAGGTCCCCATCACTGGGGTGTATTCAGTTTAATACCTTGTTTTATAGTTATATTAGATGATGTGCTATTATGGAGTGTTTATGTAAATATTTTATTTACTTTGTGTGTAAGGATACAAAAAGAGATTTATGTTCTTGTATGCAATAATGATATTGTTACAAATAAGACTCAAAAACAAATATCTATATATATATATGTGTGTGTGTGTGTTTCTATATTATACTTAGAACCAGATTGTTTATTAATTGGAAATATTTACTCTAGAGAAATATGCAATGAACACTGGGCTTTTATGTTTTTGCTTTTGTTTTGAAGCTGTTTTTATACCTTAATTGGAAATATGTATTCTAGACAAATGTGTAATGAATACTGTGCTTTTATGTTTCTGTTTTTATTTTTAAAGCTATTTTTATATTTAAACTAAATAGGGAAATTATTATATTTAGATATCTTTGTAAGTGTCTGAAGTTTGAAAACTCTCATAATTTATTTTATCAAAGGACATAGTTTATTCTGTTCAGTTAACAATGTTCAGTTAACCATCTAATGCAGCATTTATAATCCAGCTAACATCATCAGTGTTCCAGCATGTACAACAGGATAATATAAAAAAAAATATCATTTCTCCTGAATTCTTTGTAAGGTTTATGCTGTTTGTATGTATTAATTGAATCTTATGAGCAGACTTTTGAGGGGATAAAGATAATTTACATTTTGAAAATGTAGTCTCCAGTGGGAGATGATGCAGAGAATCGTTGTGGGGCATAATATGGGTGGTGGGATCCATGTATATTGGAAACAATCTTTAATTGTTTGTAAAGGCTTATATGTTCTTAAAGGCATCATCTATACTAAATTCAAACTGATACAATACTCTTATTGGATTGTTTGTAGAGAGAGATGTATTGTTTTCTGTTTATTCCTATTCAACCTTGTTAGATAAAACAACACGCACTTACAGAAATAACTATTTAATTTTACTGTTTTCATGAAATGATATATATATATATATATATGTGTGTGTGTGTGAGTTTTAACTAAAAAACAATTATGAAAGACTAACAACTTATCATGTATTGGTTTTATACTAGTAAAGTTCTAACTCATAGTAAGGTAAACAGAGTATAAACCCAAGCAATTGTTTAGATGTTTGAATCCGTAAGTCCCATGGTTTATTATTTTGTTGTGTGCTTACTACTTGAAGTGTTCATTTTACAACTAAAAGTATCAAATATGTTTGTGGTATTAACATTATTACTCACGTTAGAACGTTATAGATAAAGTTCAGTGAAACATCTCAAAAACCAGACATTAAATACTCATCAGTACTAGGAATGGGCTGTTTTCTAAACTTCTCTACCTTCATTTATGTAAACCAGTTGTACCTCACTTTAGTTGCCTTGTCTTTAAACTGAAAACTAGCTAATTTTTCCATTCAAAAAAATATAAATAAAACTTGAAGAGTTTGCAAAGATTGAAATCAATCATGCCAATATGTATATGATTTTTAAATACAAATTTTAGAGTTATAATTGTAGTAGTTTTGTTTTAAAAAAAATAATTAAATATTGATACAATTTGACAAATAGACAGAAAGTTATTTTTTATACCATGTATTTATTTTCATGGTTACAGTTATTGAAAGTCAAATTCACAAAATGTACCAATCATTTGAATTAGATATACTTCCAGCTTCGGGCAGGCTACAGAAGTTTTACCTTGTATATTAATACTGATAATCATATTAGATGTTAAAGTTTTTACTTTACACAGTTATTAACATATCCAGATATAAATCTTTACTCATTTGCATGCATATTATAAGAAAATTAGTTTTCAATTTTTTAAAAGTGTTTTTTTTTCTTCATTTGCATAGATTCAACTCATGTAACTAAAAAATGTTTACCGAAGTTTGTGTCAATAATATTTTGACATCAAGTAGTTCAAAATTTAAAAAACACCACCAGACTGTAACACTGCCAAACACTTCTGTCCAAGATTAATTATTATCTATATTAATTTTTAAATTGATGTTTTAACCTTAGCTATTTTTATACAAAAAACAACTTGTTTTGTAGAATTACTAAATGTTGGACTTGAACTGTATTGAAATGTATTTTTTCACTCATGTCAATAAACCAATAATGTGCATTGCATGTTAGCAGTATGTCTGTTTTGAGGCATATGTTTATTTTTATCATTATACATGTGTTTTAGTGAATCCAGTTATGAGCATTTACTACATGCATCAGAATCCTTTAAATGTAAAATAAGTAATATTGTTTTGTTGATGCTTTAAAGAACATGAATTTTTATTGTCTAAAGTCTACAAGAATATTCTTTCTTTTTAAGTGCTATTAATATGAATGAATTATTGTTTTGTTACTTTTTATAAATAAGTTGTAGTTTGCAAGTCAAAACTTTAAGATTTAAGTGTTACAAAAACATCATTTAGCAGACTAAGCAAGTATTCTGATTTTGTCTCTATTGATTGGTAGGGTTCTTTGAATATGGAAGAGGCTATGAAGAAACAGCAAAATCAAACAATATCTATTGTGATGTTTGTGGAAAACGGTATTCATCCAAACCATCTTTGTGGTCACATAGACATCACCAGCACAAGAGTCACCGACACTTCTCCTGTCAGTATTGTGGAAAAGTTTTCACGAGGAGGACAACATTACAGTACCACATGATGAATCATAACTAATTGATAAACTGATTTTATTATCAATATTAAATAAACGTTTTGATCAGGAAAACAAGAATGTGACACAATAACTTATATTTCATGTTAGTAAAATACCCTTCATCATCAGGTCTATAAAAACGTTTTCATTAACATAACATTACCACAAGACTAGTCATATTTACATGTTAATCGAATTCTCATCATTATCATGTGTTTAGTCATCTTCATGTGTTAGCAGAAATCATTCAATTACCAGTAACATGAAGAGGTTTCCACTATTAGTTTCACATTTTTAAAGGACTTATCACTGCTATGTTAAAAACATTGTCGTTAGAATGCATTCGCATTAGAACAGTGGGACAACTTTTCACACACAAAAAAATAGTATAATAAGATTAATTCAAAAAGATTTATATTTCATAATGTAGAAGAACATTTTAAGAACTAGCACCATTGTTCACATTTATCTCTGTGTTATTACTTTTTACTCAATCCCAGTATCATAATACATTTCTTTATATTGTTGACATGATTATTTCTTTGTTGTCATAATAGAAAGTGTTTATTATTTTATTGTTGTTTTCACCTTTTTTATTATATAATTTTTCAGTACTCTGAGAGCTGCATAGTTAATGCTGTAAGAAAGATGTGTACGATGTTGTATTATTGTTGTCATTTGCTAGGGCCAACACTGTTTCCAAATATGGTTTATTGAAAGTATAGAATTAAATTGGTTGTTAACAGAGAACACTTAACAAAACTTTATCAGTTTCATTTTAGTGACCATCATTATATTGTAATTTTTTTTATTCAACTTGATTGATAATTTCTGGTTTTGTTAAATAGCCAACAAATTCAATATAAAACCACTTGTGAGTTTATGGATGACATTTACTCAGTATAGGAAAGTTAATGTTTTTATACATAATTGAATCTTTAATTTTTATGTTTTGTGACATTTTTAAAAGATTGGTAATTTGGTGAGAAGTTTTAAATAAAGAAAATGTAAAAAGTGGATGTCAGTTACATTTTAATGTACATGGAAAAATTTTCAAGTATACAAATCTTAATCATTCATTATTAGATGAACTTTATGTGTTACTAAGAAATCTTTAGAAGATTCATTTTAAAGTGCATGTTTACATCATCTTGAACAAAGATTTCTAAAAAAAGATACCCATATGTTGATCAACATATGCACTCGTTCATATTTTGAGATGAAATAAATTACACCAGTATGAAGGAGCATTGAAATTAGTCATTTTTAGCATCTTAAAGTGTATAATGAAAACTCACACATCGTTTTATAATTATCTTAATTTTCAGGACAAGAAAATTGGACTGTGCTCAAATTTGCAGATCAGTCATCTGTGTTATCAGATTCAGATCGATTTTGTGCAATTTGTCAACAGCTGTTTGCAAACAAATACAGCTTCAGACGACACCAGCTGATGCACCAACCCTATCGAAAAAAATTTAAGTGTTCTTTCTGCTCTAAACAATTCAGTTGGCCAGGAGACATGAAAGCTCATATTAAAATGTATCATAAAAAATTCATTACCTGTTAAAATGCAGGAACTTTGACCCTTATGAACATGCTTTAAATCTGGTAATATTGAACTTTCACTATTATGTAGTACAAATCATTTTTAATGAAATAAAGTTCACCTTCAACACTTTGTGTTTTGTTTTAATTTTTGACATGCAGTATTTGTAGTTTTTCATGCTCATTATTAAACAAAAGTACAAGAAATGGTAATAAAAATCTGTGAAAAGCATGAAAAAGTTCATTATGCTTGCATGGAACACAAAACAAGAAATAAGTATCCTTATAAATATTTGAATGCAAATGAAAAATATAATTATGGAATTGTGTGTCAATATGTAATGCAACAAAATTAACTTTGTATATACTTAAAAATATTTTAGTGATAAAACTTAGTTTTTGTAAAAAATAAATTGAAATGATATATAACAAGAAATTGTTTGTAATAAAATTATCTTGAAATTGTATGATATTAAAAGCAGTTATAATACCATTCTAACTGATTCAGAAATTGTAAGTTTTCAAAAGGAATTACGACATCAGTTCAAAGATTGTATGGTTTTTTAAAGGCAAAAATATTATTGCCTGGCCTAAAAGTTGTAAAATATAGAAAGGGCTTTTCCTTAATTTTTGTTTTGTGTTTTGTTAAGATATAATTCCAAATAATCCTTAAATACAGTTATGTTTTTAAATAAACTGTTGCATTTGCTCTCATTAACTTGCATATGCACGTTTTGGTTGGGATGTTTGAGGTTATACTGAGTGTTAGAAGAGATGTTATCACAAACTCCAGAAGATAGGACAAAATCTGTTGGCCTTTAAGTTTGTGATTTGATTATGTGTGTATACATTTATATATATATATACATACTTTTTTTCATAATAACAAGCAGAATATTGTAAAGAAAGTTATTTTGAATAATTCTTAGATTTAGAAAATAGCTAAAAAAATTAAAAAGTACTGGACAGTTATGACAATTCACATAACTTAAAACAAAGCATACAGTTCAATGGTAAGACTATACATGATCATGTATAGAATGAATGAATGTAAATAGTAGAACTGAACTGAATAACATGCAATATGGTGACTTAATAATGTTTGATACTGCTTTATTTCTCAATATTTATCACAAACTGAAAAGAAAAGGAATAAAGAAATTAGTAAATGATGTTATTTTAAATTTCTTTTGGTATTGATTTTCTTTTTGAAGATGTGCCTGTGAATATTTAAGTATTATTTTGTTATTCTCCTATGAGAAAAATTAATGATTATTGTGATAACTTGTAAAAGCTTAATTGTTGTTCAAAAAAAATAGCAGTAACAACTGTTATGTTAGAGTTATCAATAATCTTCCACAAATGAAAAACAAAACACATCTAAGTTACAGATTTTGTATCTTGAGCATAAACTAGGCCTTTTTAACCCCCCCCTCCCCTCATGTTTAAATATTCAGTTTTACAAATATCACTTTGAGCCCTATAAGTTTGTAGAACAATAGCAAAAAATCTAAAGTATAGTTTCATTAGTAATGTCTTTGCACTGTCTTACTCCAGAATAGCTGTGGTAAAAATTTATAGGAAAGTTTAAAAGTGGATAATATTGTTCCTAAATATATTTTTTCTGTCCTTTTTAGGACAGAAGTATAAATGCAGCATATGTCATGCCAGATTTGCATTCACATCAGGATTGAGTAGACATAAGAAGTTCATACATGGAAGGACTGGAATAAACATCTGCTCAATATGTGGAAAGGGTTATCAGAGACCTGACACTTTAGTTTCTCACATGAAGACTGTTCACCAGGAGTCAGAAATGTGGAAGAAGTCATTCTCTGTGAAGTTAGCCTAAATAAGACTTGTTTGTTGTGGCACCAACATTTATTCAAATTTCGATACTCAAAGGAAAGTTAGAAAAACCAGATGTTGGTGTATGGTAGATAACATTGTATAGTTTACAAACAACAAGACTTGTTAAGATATTATCAGGTGTGACAACTAGATACATGTTCAATGTCTCCTTTTTCCTCTGTATCTCTCAAAGCTATCAGAAAACTTTTGCTTTCTTACTGTATTCTAATTTTCTCTGCCACAAATTGTGATTTTGCATTAGTGATTTCCTTATACTCATTTTTCATGTAGCCCTGTTTCTTCTGTGTGTATTACATCATACATCTGTTTGCAACACACTGTTTATCATGTATATTCTCGGTGATATTGGACACATTTATTTTCCTTTTTTACTGTTTAACTGATAACTTTACCAAGCAAAAACTCAGTTAATAGTTGATTATTTAAGTATTTCAAGAAGTTTTCTTTTGAGACCTGGTTGAAGACAGACTGGCAGATATGAAGAATTTTCATACAGCTGTGTGTTAATATTCTGTTTTGTAACTATATTTTTATGTAGTCATATATATATATATATGGCACAAAATGCCAGTTAGCCAAAAAATGTGCTTACAATATATTTGTTGGTAATCTTTGCTTTTGTTTTTTAGGCAATGTAATGTAAAAATAATTATGAATGAAGAATTAAGGCTGATATAAATTAGTTGTACACATCAGCTTTCTCTCTCAGACATCAAGTTTGTAATCAGGAATGATGACTGAATGTAAGATTGTTTTTTTTTACTTCATTTCATTTTCTTTCTTTTTTTCTTGTTAAATTTGGTTTTCTTTTTTTCATATTAGATTTGGTTTTTCTTTCTTCATTAACTTTTTCGGGTATGGTACTACCATTTATGATAAAAACTAAAGTAATGAAAAGCAATTGTGAACTTTAATGATATGATTTTTCCTTTTTTTTTGTACAATTATTTTAATTTTTTTTTCAGAGTTTCTGAAAATTCCTGAATAAACAGTGAAGTTATGTAACATTATAAAAATGATAGTATTTTAACCTCAATAGAAAGCAATAAAACTTTACTTGGAAAAACCCTTTGTTTCCATAGTAAGCTAAATGACTTTTTTACCTTAGTCAAACACTCAGTTTAAATGTATTTACAATAATGTACAGAGATTGGAAGCAAAAATGTTTTGAAGTTATTTAAATACAAATCTAATACACTTTGATGAATCACAAAGTAGTCCTGCTGCTTGAATTTTGTTTTTTCATCACCATATCTCATGTTCTTTTAAAACTTTTCTCCTTTCAATCAAGCTTTATGATTTTTTTTTATTCATGGTATTTTTATTTCTCTAAAAAGAAGTATGATAAGTATAAAAACATAAATCACTGCCAGTTTGCCATTCCAAGCATTGCAGTGTGTCTAAAAGCATTGTTTTATTAGAACTTTATATTCTGAAGTATAAGAAGTAGAATTGTGAGATGTCCAAAACCTTTTTTGACCATTTTGTATGTGTATTACTCACTTTATAACTTTGTTTCTTTAATAAGTCATTTTTCTTAGAGCAAGTTTCTAGAATTTCTACTTTTTCTTATTATTGCTGTACATTTGTTTACAGGATTTATGAAAAAAGGACTCATGGCTGATGCTAAGTACCAGATTGTAAGGCAGCCTTACCTGGAAAGATTGTGTACACTTTGTAACCGTGTGTTTTTCAACAAGAACAGTCTGAAACGGCATCAGCTGATGCACCAACCTGTGCGGAAGAAATTTGCTTGTCCTTTTTGTTCTAAGCTTTTTAGTTGGCCCGGATACTTAAAATTGCACCAAAAAAATTGTCATGGAGTTCATTAATAATTCAACTACACATGTCACAAAATCATTGTCACATTAACATTTGGTGTTCCGTTGACATATTGATGTAGTGGTAAAAATAAAAAATAAGTGTATAAACTAACCTCTTTGGTGATTTAGGCCTGGGCCAGGTAGTGACAAAGCAGGCAATAAGAGTGTGCAGAACTTTAATGAAGTGTAAATATTTACCCAGATTTACTCCTCAATTGCATCATTGCATTGACATTTAGTTTCGCTCTGTCAATTTCAGATCAAAGTTTTTTTGTCAGTGATTTTAGTTTTCTTTATATCAAATATTTTTATGACTAAGAAAAACTGTCAGTTAATAAAACATTTTTCTATGATCTACTTTCTTATAAGAATACTGAAAGACACGTCTATACACTATAAGAATGATGAAGAATAACCTTAGCAGGGAAAAAGATTATTAAATAATTGAGTTTAAGATAAAGTACAGTTTCCCATTGTTTTCAGAGTCAAAGTATGATTGCTTCATATTATTTTGTTCTTTGTGGATCAACTACCAAGAAATAAGACACAAGATGTTTATTAATCGGTCACCTATCAAGAAATATTCCTGTTTTTTTTAACAAGACAAAAGATATTAGTGAGTCACTTATCAAGAAAAATACCTGTTTTCTTTAATAAGACACAAGATGTTTATTAATGGGTCACCTACCAAGAAATACACCTGTTTTCTGTAATAAGAAACAAGATGTTTATTAGTGTGTCACCTGCCAAGAAATACACCTGTTTTCTGTAATAAGAAACAAGATGTTTATTAGTTATTAGTGGGTCACCTATCAAGAAATATACCAGTTTTCTTTAATAAGACACAAGATATTTATTAGTGGGTCACCTATCAAGAAATATACCTGTTTTCTTTAATAAGATGCAAGA